AACTTTGCTTTTTTTTTTTTTTTTTTTTTTTTTTTTTTTATATATATATATACTACTGATTTTTTTTTTTTTTTTTTTTTTTTTATTTTTTTTTTTTTATTTTCTTGTGTAATATTTTTTTACATGACTTGCAGCATACCTTCTGGCCAATTCAGAGCCATCCAGTTCCTCCAGAGTATAGGATCCACCTGGGTTTTGAGATTTCACCTTGTAAGGTCCATTCCACTTGTTTTCAAACAATTTGCCCCACTGGGAGTCCAAGGATTTGTTGTAGACTAATACCAAATCACCTTCTTTCAATGGTTTTCTTGTCTTCTTCTTGTTGTTCCAGTAGTCCACAGATGTACCTCTAGTTTCCAATAGCTTTTGATGTGCCTTTTGCAATACAGAGTCCCTGTTCTCCAATTGAGTTACCCTGGCCAAGAGAAGGTCCTGAGTTGTTGCCACTTGATCCCATTCCACTCCAAAGAAGGTCTCCAATTCAAGGTCAATTGGTAAGATAGGAGGCTGGCCAAAAACTAGTTCATAAGGTGAGTATCCAGTTGATCTTTTGGTTGAAATCCTGTCAGCAAATAAGACTAATGGTAAATAATTTCTCCATTTCTTGCCTTCCTGTCCACAGAGCTTGACCAGGGTGTCTTTGATTGCTTGATTTCCTCTCTCAACCATTCCATTGGCCTCTGGGTAGTATGGTGTGGTGACTTTAACCTTTATTCCAGAATCTTGAAGGGATTTTTGAAATTGCTTGCTGAATTCAGAGCCTCCATCCACTGCTACAACCAAGGGAGCTCCATATCTGTGAATCCAATGTTCCAGGAACCATTCTGATATTTTCTTTGCTTGAAGTTTTTCTAGTCCAATGGCTTCCACCCATCCTGAGAGGTCATCTCTGGCCAAAACTAGGTATTTCCATCTTCCTGCTTTGATGTGAACTGAATCCAGGCTGACTCTTCCAAAGATTGTTGATTTTCCTGTAGGCTTCCTTGGCTCCATTGGCAAGACTGAACTCCTTTTTTGGCAAGCTTCACAGGACTGGACCCATCTGGTGACTGATTTCTTGAGACCTGGCCACCAAAATCTGAGCTTGGTTCTGGTATAAGTTTCAGTGATTCCTCTGTGGCCTAAGGATTCATGAAGGGAGTGAAGGATAGAATTCTGAGCTGTGGGGGAAGTGACCACAATCTGGGAGAAAGGTTTGTTGATTCTGTGGAGGACTCCATTGGAAAGGAAAAAAGAGGCTGATTTGTGCAAAATTTGTTTGAATTCCAGGTTACTGCATCCAGAAGGTCTGTTCATTGTTGCAAGGTATTCTTCCAAGAGCTTCCAAATTCCTTGTTGCAGAGAAGTTACCCCCTCCCCCAACTGAGCTGATGTCCCCAGCAGCACTCCAGATAAAGCTTGTTTGACTCCAAATCCAGGGTGTGGCTTCATCCATTGTTCATCTTCATCAAAACTAGGACAATCTTCTTCATCTGGGTCTGGGGGCCTCCTGGAAAGTCCATCTGGCATGGTGAAAGTTTTACCTGGAGTATGTACCAAATCAAAAGAAAAAAGCTGAATAAAGGCTATCCATCTGTTCATAGGGGCATTGGGAAGTGAGGGGTTGTTGATCATTCCAATAAGGCACTTGGCATCCACTCTGAGCTGAAAATGTTGGCCCCAAAGTTTGGTTTGAAGTTTCTTGAGGATTTTGGTGACTCCACAGAGCTCAAGTTTGGATTGTGAGTATTCAGATTCTCTTTTTGAAAAGACTACTGACTCATAAATAACAGGTCTGTCCAGTCCAGCTGAATCCTCCTGAGTAAGAACTGCTCCAGCAGCAATGTAACTGGAATCCACAGAAAGCTTGATGAGGCCAGCTCCAGGTCCATAGTCCAATTTCTTGAGGGTGATGTCAGTCCCAATGATTTTCTTCAGTTCTTCAAAGGCATCCTGGCATTCATCAGTCCAGTCCCAGGTGGAGTCCTTCCTGGTGAGCTTTCTGAGAGGTGCAGTGATGGTGGAGTAATCTTTGATGAACATTCTGACATAGACACAAATTCCAAGGAATCCCCTGACAGCTGTTGGAGTGGTGGGAATTGGCCAGGATTCAATTTTGTTGAGCTTCTTGACTGAGATTCTTCTTCCTTCCTTGCAGACAACATGGCCAACAAGATCCAGGGCAGGGACACAGCAAGCAAATTTCTTGCCAGAAATGGTGAGTCCAGCTTCCTCAATTCTGAAAAGTATCCTCTCCAAAGTGATGGCATATTCATAAATAAATCTTCTAATTTTTGGGTTGGCCTCCAGGGTTTCTCCATTGTAGTCTGAAGTAGGTCCCTTGATTCCTCCATCATCAATGAAAATTCCCATGTTTTCTGGCAATTCATCTTGAAGAATCCAAGTCATCTGGGCCTGGTAGACTGCAACTGAGTTGGTGGCACCCTGAGGAAGTCTGGTGAGTTGGAACCTGCCAAGTGGAGTTTCAAAGGTTGTTAATGGTCTGGATTCTGGTGCTAATTCTCTTTCATCATAGCCTCCCATAATGTCCCCAAGTCCATAGCAAGCACGTCCAGTAAATGACTCCACTAATTCCTCTGGTGAAGGTGGAAGACCTGCATCCTTAATGGTGACTTTGTTCAGTTGTTGAAGGTCATGAACAATTCTTAATTTACCATCTTGCTTTTTTACACAGAAGACAGGGCTGGAGTAACTGGAAAAGGATTGTTCATAAAGGCCAGTCTTGAGTCTTTCCCTTACCAGTTCAATGAATTGAGGCCTGATTGGAGCTGGAATATTAATTGGTTTTTGTTGCCAGGGTTCATGAGGAATGACAGGAATGATGTAAGGTTGTCCATAGGTGTGTTTGAGTAGTCCTCTTTCTTGTTCCACAAAGGCCAAGGCTCCCTGCCTGAGGGTGATGACCCAGACTAATAAATTGTATTCTTCATTTGACAGCCATCCAGGGGGGCCAAAATTGATAACATCCAGTCTTTCTTGTGTAACCTTGGAGGTGGGTTGAAATGAAGGTGGGAAGGGAGTTAAAGGGGTTGCATAGGGGTCTCTAGAGAGTGGTGGTCTTGAAAGAGGAGGATTGAGGGAAAGGGGCATAGGTTGATTTACAGGTTTGATTTTTTTTAGAGTTGATTTGTAATTTGTGGCATAGGTGACTAATTCTGGTTGTTTGGGTGGTTGTGACAGGTCCAGATACTCTACTTGGTAGATCTGAAATCCTGCCTCTGGTCCAAAAAATCCCTGGTGACCAAGAAAGAAGGAAGGGAGGTTTCCCATTTGTGGTGGTTGGGCCAGCAAATTGGAATTAAGTAGGCATTTCCTTTGTTGTCCAAGACTGAAAGTGATTCTCCTTTGGGTCCATTGTATTTGATTTGAGCAGATACATCCATTAAGAAGGGTTTCCCCAAGATGAATTGCACACTTCCTCCTTTGGCAACCCAGAAGTGAACTGCCCTGGTGACCTTTCCAATTTGGACTTCAACTCCTTCAGCAATTCCCAGGATGGTAGTGTGGTGGCCTCCAATCCCTCTGAGCTTCATCTCTCTTTCTGTGATGACTAGTCCAAGTTGTTGAGCTATTTCTTCAGGAATAAGGTTGACCATGGAGCCAGTGTCCAAAAGAGCTTGGTGAGTTGTACCATTTATTCCAAGTCTGATGTAGCCAAGGGGGCAAGAGTAATGAGTGGTTGAATCCCTGTCTTCTTCTTCATCAGTATCCAGGGCTCCATGGTTGGAAGAAGCAAGGTCCTCCAAGGATGCATGGCTGGAAGAGGTGTTGGGTTCAATGGGCACTCTTCTGTTGGAAATTTTTCTTTTAACAACCTCAGAAAATCCAGGGGCCAGGGCAAAAAGTTCTCCACAGCTAAGCTCTATCTTGGTCTCCTTAAGAAATCTGCTGGCAGTTGCCTCATCTACCTGGGGGTATTCCTTTGACAAAGCTTTTTCCAAATAGGTCTTCTTGGTAGGCTTCTCTTTGGGACTGCTGGGTTCTGGATCTTCAGTGTTTTGAAACCTGACTTTGGATTGGGCAGAGTTTTGTTTGGTCTGAGTAGAGGTGCTGGGCTTGGGTTGAACAGGAGGACTGGATTTCTGAGAAGGCTTGGGAGGGGGAGTGGCCATTTTAAGTAAGTCATCCTGGTCCATATCCATGAGAGTGTCTTTCTCCTTCCTGCTTCTCTTCTCTGTGGCTGGCTCCTCCTCATCTTGGTCCTTGGAAGATCTGGTCCTTTTTCCCAAGTCCACATCATAAACAGAAGGATGAATTTCAGTGAGTTCTTCTAGTTGTCCAAATGAAGAAATGATGCCAGAGGGTTCCTTTGAGTACTGATCCACTATTTGCTTGATTGGTCTAGAGGTATCCCAGGGGATGGTGGTATTGTCAGGAAGCTTGTAAGTCTTTCCTTCCCTGATGACTAGGCCTTGGGATTCATCATAGCTGAGAAGACTGCATTTCATGGTACTGTGGGCAGGTTGAAAGCAATAGTAACACTTGAAGTCTGGGTTCCTAGGAGCTGGGATATTCTGCTGGGAAGAGGTGCCAGAAAGGTGAGGGGGGACCATTTTTCCAGAAGTGAAAGCTGCCATTTGCCTAGTGAGCTCATCCAATTTCTGGTCTGTTGTCTTGCTTGTAGAAGGGACAGAAGGCTTGGGAGTTCTAGGAGCCTTAGTGGAGTTGGAAAAAGAGTTGTCCTTGGTGGGTTCCATCTTGAAGAGGTTTCTTCTGGCCATGAAAGATGCTGACTGAACTTCTCTGAGGATGTAGGTGATTAAAACCTTGGAGCTTGGAAGTATATCCCCACCATCCCTGGAGGCCAACATTTCATTCTTGCTGATGAGTTCCTTGGTGACTGAAGTTTCCAAATCAGGGCTGAGTGAGTCCAACAAGTATTCCCTAGATTCCTCCAAGTGAGAGATATGGCCCATGGTGAAGAGGTAATTGGTGATGACTTCATATTTGGATCTGAAAACTTTGAATTCTTCCAGGGTCTTGATTCCTCCAGACTGGATAGCTTGGTGGACCAGTCTCTTGAGATCCTGCTTGGAGTATTTGACCAAAGGAACAGAGGTCCCAAACCTGTTGAGTAACTGTTTCTTCAAAAGTTCCCAGTCAGCAGCTTCATGTCCAGTCATTTCTTCTACTTCATCCTTGAGGTCTGGTCCTTTGATGAATGAGAGGACCTGTTTGGCCAAATCCCTAGAAGAAGCACCATCAGCTGACCCTGCATTCTCATATCTTCTGATAAATTTCTCAATAGGCAGATTAGTTCCATCAAACAAAAGGTCTTTATCCATGGGTTTAATCTTGACACTCTTGCCTCTGGGTCCAGCATAGGCAGGCATAGTTGGTTCCTTTTCCAAGAAGTGAGTCCTATGAGTATGAGCAGATCTGATTGAGGGGTTGGGAGAATTGGGTTGTAGTCCAAGGAGGTCTGAATTTCCAGAGGACTGAGGCTGATTGTCCCTGTATTGGTTGAAAGCATTAGAGGTTCCAGGATTTGCTGCTCCAGTCTCAGGGTTAGTGGGTTGCCAAGGGTTTCTGGTGGCAGTCTGTCCAAGGTAGGTGCTGGCAAGGTGCTCCAAGTTGGAAAGGTCCAAGGGTGAAAGTTGAGGAGGGTTGGACATAGTAAAAGTAGGTGAAGAAAAAAGGTTGTAAAAGAAGATTCTAAAGAAGTGTAATTACTAAAGGTTTATTGCCAAGGTGGAAAAGAAAAAAAATAATAGCAAGGAGGGAAAGCTGATATGTTTTGTGAATTTAATAGGTTTAAAAGAACTAGAAATGTACTTCAAGAGGAATGGGATGGATGAGGGAGGTAAGTGAAAAGTACTGCAAACTGATAGTTATAGGTAACTAGGACTAAATCTAAAGGAAATCAGGCCACTGTTGGGACACCACTTGTGGAACTGCTGAACAACCAGAACAGAGCTTTAGAGGGGAATAGCAAACTACACTACTAGTAATGTAAGTTAAGCTATGAGTGCTGATGAGGCTGCCCTCTGAGACTAATGCTGAGGAGAGAGGGTTACACTAAGAAAAATAAGAAGAGGTGTGGCTAATTTCTATCTATTTCTTAGACTGCTATAACTGATGAGATTGTTCCTTATCAACCTACAGGGGAAGAAGTGAGACTATGAGGGTGGTAAATAAAGCAGAGCTCTGAGGACACTGAGTGTAAAGGTATTTCTGGGGCAAGCACCTAAACAGGGCAAGGTCACTAAATTGAGTTCTGAAAGTAAAATAGATTTTATCTGAGGGGCACAATAATATCTGTAGGGGAGAAATTGCATAAGGGGTGTACAAAAAATGATAAGAAGGCTGTATATATACTTCAAGGTACAAATGAGCACAGGTTACAGTCAGTCTGGCTATGGGAGCAAAATGTACAAATGTAGAACAAGAGATGTGAAAAGTAAACAATCAAAAGGGAGGATGAGTAAGGAAAACAATCCCAAAAGATAAGACTGTGAAAGAGTGTACTACTGTTATCCTGAAGGCATATGAGAAAGCATAGTTGTAAGGAGTGTGTCTGAGAAAATATATGTAGTATGTAATGTGAAAAAGAAGTACTTGTAAAGGAGTGTGGCTGATGTAATGTGAAGAGATATATGTAAAAAGATAGCACTTGAGAAAAATATGATGTATGTGATAAACTGTAAATATGTACTGTATGTAGTTAATGTGTAATGTAAATGTAAAGAATAATATCTGTAAAGCTAAAACTGCAATTAACTAATGAACCAGTAAGAAATGAGATATGACTTGAGTGAGTGACTATAGGTAAAAAGGGGTGTAGAATCTGATTCTGTAGTAATATTATAACAATTCCCAGTGAATGTACAGTAAAATAATAGATGCTATGGAAAGGTATGGGTTACCACACCGTCATTCGGCTCATACGTGGTCGATGGCTGAGGCTGGCATACACTTCAGCTCTTTTGTGGCGGCTGTCGGCCGGTTCTCCCACCGTGCCAACGTGGCTCTTAGCCTCAAGCTTGGAGAAGAAGCGGTTAATACATCCTCTGTTTCAGCCTCTTGCAATGTTACTAACATCTTTCACTCCTCTCCATGGTATTTTTAGATTATTGAAGGTGCTCGCGATCCACCCCCCGATGAAGCCGTTGTTCCACCTGTTGCTCCAGATCTAGCAGACACCGAGTTGGCTTATTTAGTGAATGTCGAAACACCCAATCTTGCGAATGCCGAGTTACCTGATTTGGGCAATGTCGAGTTACCCAATCCCGCACAAATCGATGCCGTTTATCCAAATTTTCCTCCGGTTGCGCCGCCGCCAGTCAAAGAAGCCAGAGAAGAGCGCAATCCTTCACCAGCAGCCAATTTCACCATGAACGAGTTCCTCAGCTTGTGTCACATCGATAGTCAGAATGTCCAAATTCAAGGTCTCTTGGAGCGACACTTGATATCCCATTGGCGTGCTTTTGTTGGATTATCTTCTGATAGATTAGAACAGCTTGGATTTCCCTTTGGCCCAAGTGCTTTGATCGCTGCCGGTACTTTAAGAGCCATCAATCAAACAATTGGCTGATGGAACTCCTTTTGTTATTGCAATTACTTATTTTTAACTTAAAATCTAGTTACATCTAAAAGTGTATAAAACAAGCTCAAGTCTTTGTAAAACCAGAACCAGTCAAAGATTATAAATGATTAATCATTCAATTCAACCACAGAATTTGCCATCGGAGACTGACTTGTCTTCATGGGCAGCACTTGCACTTTCCCATTAACGTGCGGTTTGCTACCATTGCGTAAACGTCGGCGTTCTTGAGCATGTCTCAAGATCGTTGATGGGACTCTAGCGTTCTCAATGCAGTGTCCCAACTATCTCGTTTTCACAACGTGACAGTTTTTTCAACTTGACCGTCCTGTCGCCCATCAGGTCCCTGGAATCGTCTGGCGGACGCATGACGAACACGTCCAGAGAACCCCGACGGTAAACCGATGGTCCGGTTTGATCAACTGTCCTCTCAATGGATGATGAAGCGTCAGGAGGACAACAACGCACAAAGGACGCCTTGGTTTCGACTGCCGTCCTCGGGCCGTCTGACCAGAGGTCGGAGGGACCAAAGCGTCCTGAGAACGGGGGGAGTGTCAACCATCTTGGTTGGTTGCGACGTTGGGAAGGGAGTACCATCCGTTCACTGTTGCATCACCGCTCATAGAACCCTGACGTTCTCTTGCGGTCCCAGCGGTTGCTGGGACGCAAGATTTTTGCCAGAGTTTTGGGAACGTCAGGGGATCTCTCGATCGCTCCTGTGGTGTAGGTGAGAAGAGCACATACACTCTGGGCATAATCCTTGTCTGTGCATATGGCGGGACGGGACTCGCCACGAACAGCTTGACCCTGGAGGGCAATCGTTATCAAAAGCGAGAGCAGTTTGATGGATAGCATGTTCAATCGTAGGTGGTGTGAGATAAAAAAAATATGAGATTGGAGGACTTGATGGAGTCGGGAAATGATTTGTATGAATGATGTGGATAATGGGGGCTTTGCTTGTGCGAGTGAGGCTTTTTATCTCATTCCGGCCGGACAGGAAGGATGAGCAGCCATTGATCTCTCACAACAAGTTTTGATCGTTGATTCAACCTCGCGACTCCGCTCAGTTGATTGTTCACATGAATTTTAGTCCCCATTCTAACCTTAGAGGACATGCGAGGCGGTGTGGAGCGGTGTGCAGAGGCACAGGAATGGTCATGACATGCCGAGGAGCTTTGACCAGCTTTGACCTGATTGCGTCTGGAGCTGTCTGGAGCCTTGAACGGATTGAAAGCTATGTAGCCTGGAGCAGCGAAGAAGCACGAGACTTGAGAATCACCACTGCAGGGAGGCCTGGAGAGAGATCATGATCACGAGGCCAGCTTGGAGGACGATTTGCGTGAAGTGGGAAATCTCATGAAAACATTCATCAATTGGCTTTTCCAAAACGCTTGGAGCCATTCGAAGAAAAATTGTTTTGGAAGATCCAGGCAGATCATGCGATCCGGCGCATTCGAATTTGTTCTCAAGGGAAACAAAGCGCATGTCATACATTTCAAGAAATTGTTCAGAATTTAGAGAAGTTGTTTAGAATGGGTTTGGGTTTTGGGCCCATTGATCGGTCAAGTTGGACTTGTGAGCGGAAAGTGATGTGGGGGGGGGATTTTGAAAGTACAAGCTGTTAAAATCTAATTTGTTCCTCCCTGACAATAGAGGCTCATTGAGTACACAGTCTACGTCACGATCCAAAGATGACCAAAAGAAATGGATTGAAGTGTGATTAAAGAAACGTCTCAGTCTTGTGTGTGCTATTCAGAAGGGGATGCGAATGATTGACTTACCGGATCGGAACTGCAACACTGAGGAGAACTGTTTCCCGGGCATGTAAAGGTTTTCTTATCCTTCTTATCGATGATTGGTTTGGGATCTGATAGGGTACCAAATTAATAAGAAAAAATTAAAAAAATAAATAAAAAAAGTCAGCGGATGTGATGAGGAATTGTTTAGTACGAAAAGGTCGCCTTCAGACGATCATTTACAATTTCCACCGTCCACACAAACTTTCTGCGACAGCTCTGGAATGAGGCATTGATGTCCTTCAACTGCCACAGTGCTAATCATAATCATCAAGACCAGGGTATAAAAAATGGAGTGAATAGCTATGGTTGACTTCATAATTTTATAAGAGACTTGGGTCGGTTGTTGTGCAATGGAAATGGAAAACTGATTGAAATCCTGTTGTGACTATCGATTGGGTACGAATGGGCTGAGGGAAAAGTCTCATGGCGCCAACATTCACCCATTTATATAAGCTAGTCCTGACTGATAAGAATCTATCAGTGTGATGACGATAAGGATATATACAGGATACATGCGGAGGGAGGCACACTCATTCTCACTCATTCCCCAATGAAAGAGGCTACAAGCCCAGAGTTACATCCAGTTTCCTCCTTCGTCATCCATAGCCACGGGGGCTTGTGACTGTACTCTACTAGTCTAGATCCTCGTGTTTTCTTGTGTTTATTTTGTCTCGTCGAGGCTACCTTCTGTGCAGGGGATCTCCCCAGTTCCTCAGGTCTCTTTTTCAGCTCTATATCCAGAGAACATTTCGGGTTCCTTTTCACCTTCAGCGCACCTTCGTGTCCAGTTCTCCTATTTATTCTGAAGGAGCCCCGCTTCAATGCCGGGGCTGTTCTCGTTTCACGAGGCTTCAGAAGATTGCCAGTTCAATTTTGTGCAATGGATGCATCGCATCGGATATCCTTTTGTCTTCCCACCTTCCTGGTTGACACGTCCACCGTTGGGAAGGATGTTGCTTCTTTGTGAAGTGGAAGTCTCATGAACATACGAGGCGAACTTACCAATTTCTCCTGGGCACGACGCGCCCTAACTTAACAACAAGTCCCTCCGATCGCCTGTACCAGGCTGGCGCAAGCGCCCCTCGCGAAGCGAGCCTCCCTAGCTTAACCTCTGATCAAAATGCATGTGCTTTTTTTCGCTCAAGTTGAAACTGTCAGCTTGCATATGCTCGGTCCAAGAGGACGATCCGAAGGCGATCGGTACCCTTACCGGTTAAAGATGACTATTTTGCCAGAGTCAGGACTCTCCTTTTGGACGAGTTGGCAGGGATTGCCTCTACCTCTTCGCAGCGCTTGGCCGTCTAATCTTACCAACCAGACGCCGTGTTCGATCCCAGGATTACCCTGTCTAGACCATGTACGGTCCCCACATCATCACACTATGCTTCCTCAACAGCGTCATCCCCGCGGGACTGCGCCTGCCACGGACCTGCGAAGTTTGCGTAAAGGACTTATCTTATAATGAGAGGCATTCGCTGATGGTATCGAAGTCGACCGGTCGCCGTTGCCCCGAAGTCACCTTATGCAGCGGAGGCTACTGGCATGAATGTCACCAATTCGAACTTGGCTACTATGGGCTTTGTTCGGTCTGCCAGATGGTCACCCAACCAAGATACATCCGATGTAGCCTGGACCACGACAACCAGTCAGCTGTACCATGTCAAGTGCATCCCATTCAACTTCCGCCCTCTACTTCCGCACAGGACTCTCCACTCTCACTGCCCACATGGGAAACCCGACCCCCCACTCTCATCCAGGATGCTTGATTAATGGTCTGTGTGTATGGTCTGCATAATCTGCACAACCAAGAAAATGTTTTGTTTTGGCTTTGTGATACACAATGCTATAAGAATGAAAGGAAAGTTGATCTTTGAGCACCATCTGTGTGTGCAACAAGAATGATTAATCTGTGCAACAAAAGCATGTTTATTTTTTTGACTGTGTCATATTAGTGCTAGAAGAACAATTAGGACCAGTACCATATGATATGGCATGATAATCCAATTTTACAAATTTTATCTTCCTCAAATTTTGATATCATCAAAAGTGACCATCCCCAAATTTCAATAGTTATTTTTTGGCTTAGAAGTGAACAATTTCATCAAGATATTTCTCATCTTTTGATCAATGTGTGTGTAGAAGGTAGAAAAAATGCCCATTTTCCAAAATTGCATCCAAAATAGAGATGGTCAAAGGGTATCCGTCGCGGATACCCGTTATCCACTGGCAGATACCCGCCGGCCCCAACGGATACCCGCCAGTGGGTGCGGATGGCCCCTTTTCCCCAAAACCCTGGCGGATATCCGGGTATCCCCAAGGATACCCAAGGCCGAGAGGACTAGATGGCCGGCTGGAAGTGTTTCCTTCCAGCCGGCAAGGTACATGCTTCTAGTTGACGAGGTACTTGTAACTCGTTGACTGGAAGGATTTCCTTCCAGTCAATGAGGTACACATTACCTCACCGGCTGGAAGGAAATCCTTCTAGCCAGCTGCCCTGCCACCCATTGAAAGGGTGGGTATTTGTGGATACCCGCTCGGATACCTGCCAGTGGGTGCGGATGCGGATGCGGATGCCCCATTCCGCTGAAAAACGGAGGGAATATCCAGATGGCGCTGGTCCATCTCAAATCCAAAAGTTCTGGCAACTGTGAAACAATGCAATGTGATATGATAAATAATCATTTATTGACATCACATTGTTTTAGCAATGCACATTAATTCAATACCAATGTAGTACATCTGAAAATCAATGCATGGGTTGAAATACCAGCAATGTGGTGCAGTGCCCCCGCATTGCTCTCTCAATGCAATGTGATACAGGCCTGATGTGACATGATGCCTATGCATTCATCAGATCAGTTACACCGTGGGTTCTGTCCCTTGAGGTGAAGTTTGTGTTTCTGACTTGATCTATCTTACAGTTTCACACGGAAAACTACTGCACATTTCTGATGGGTGTCCAGATGGTTTGTGAGCCTGGGTCTCAAAAGTGACAACAGGACACAAGGTATTGGGGGGCAATTCTAGAAGTATTTCAGATGGATAAGGAAATACAACTAGAATGAGAGAAAGAGAGAGAGAAAGAGAGGAGAAAAGAAAAGAATAATCTTTTAATTGTTTATTTGTTTTATAATCAAGGTTTACTGCAGTCTTACTTTACTTTAAGGATGGCTGTTATTAAGCGGAATTAATCTATGCCTCCTAATCAAATGAAACTGAGAAGGGTACCTGGTATTGATATGTCAATCCGGCCACTATTTTTTAGATCTAAGATCAAGGGTCTTTAAAGGGAAACCTATGTGGTTTTCAGTTATACCACCAAACAGAGAAGATGATGATGAATTGATTTGATGTAATGAAGTTTGAGGCAGAGGTTTAGTAGAAACAGAATGGAGTAATCATTCAGAGAGACAAAGAAGAAACTTAGCAGAAAGATGCAAGCTGAACTTGAAGGAATGACTTACATATTGGTGATCCTGACACAATGAGTGGGAAGATTCCAATAGGTAAGGGACTCCTAACGATAACATGGAGATGACATGGCAGTGAATCCAAGTTGAGGTTTGCTGATTTCTGGTCTGAGTTGGTTCTGGGTGGGTCTGGAGTCTGAAGATCCTGAAAATGTGAACTCAGTGTCTACTGAGAGAATTTTCAGAGTTGGATTACATAATCACAACATGTACATGTGGTAGAGAGTTGGAATTCTAACTTGGTTGATATTTCACAAGGTACGGTGAAATATTACAAAGTCTATGAAGGAGAAGAGTAGTGTAAAAGTGTGTAGTGGTGACTAAGGTTGAAATTAAGAGAGGAATTCATTTCTGAATTCAGAATTTAATAAAAGATTAATATGAAAAAGTTACAGTAGGAGCTGGAGTGAAAAAGGAGGACTTAAGCAGTCTTTTGGCCAGCTTGGCTGGCTCTAAGGCTGACATGGTTGGGCCCAAAGAAATGGGGTTTTTATTTCATCATTTTTGCTGGGGTCAGGCATTGCTTTGATGTCTTGGGAAATGGGAAAGGCATACCCAAGTGCATCAATATGATGTAAGCTGACTTTTACAGGTGATTTAAGCTGATTTTTTTGGGCTCAAGACTTCTCTGTACCCCATACTTTCAGGCAATA